GAAGGACCCAAGATTCACTATTTGTGCTACATTAAATGTAACAGTAATTTAATGTAGCAGTATTATTGTATCATTTTCAAAGAAATATTTTTGTAGCATAGGCAGGATACTGTAGCGAAGGACCCAAGAATCACTATTTGTGCTACATTAAATGTAACAGTAATTTAATGTAGCAGTATTATTGTATCATTTTCAAAGAAATATTTTTGTAGCATAGGCAGGATACTGTAGCATTATATAAAATATTGTTGTAATATTTTTTAAAAATTTGTTGTAGCGAAGGACCCAAGATTCACTATTTGTGCTACATTAAATGTAACAGTAATTTAATGTAGCAGTATTATTGTATCATTTTCAAAGAAATATTTTTGTAGCATAGGCAGGATACTGTAGCATTATATAAAATATTGTTGTAATATTTTTTAAAAATTTGTTGTAGCAAAGGTGGGATATTGTAGCATTTTAAAAAAAATTACTGTAGAATTTAAAAAATATTGTTGTAGCATTTAAAAACATCATTGTAACATTTAAAAACGAGATTACTGTAGCAATAAAAAAAGGGAATGTCGTGCTTCGCACGTGGCGCACACTAGTATATATATATATATGAGAAAAATGGGCATGTTTGGTACTAAGCACAAGTATTTGTGCTTGATAGTGAGGTGACATATTCCCCTCCACTTATTAAAATCGGGGCCCACATTCACATATGTTGGGGAGTGGTTGGGAATTAGAATGAGTGGATGAGAATAAGACACATCACTACCAAGCAGAACTTTTTGTGTTTGGCTACCAAGCATAGTCCATTCTCTCTCTCTCGTCTCTCTCTCTTCTCTCTTCGTCTCTATATACTATGATATACTAATATATATATATATAGTATATAATAATATATATATATATTATATATATATATATAAGTATATATATAATATATAGGTATGAGTATATATATATATGAGCAGCATGGGTATGCTTTGTACCAGGCATAAATAGTTGGTGCTGTGTAGTGATGTGCTCACATCCCCTCCACTCATTCAAACTATGGGACCACATTCACGATGGATAGTGAGTGAAGAGGAATGTGACACATCACGTACCACAGCACAAAATTTGTGCTTGGTACCAAGCATACGCCATTTTTCTCAATATATATATATATATATATATATATATATATATATATATAATATAATATATATATATATATATATAATATAATATATAATATATATATTATATATATAGAGAGAGAGAGAGAGAGAGAGAGAGAGAGAGAGGAGAGAGAGTGTGGGTGTGTGTGGTGGTTGTGGATGTGTATGCTTGGTACCAAGCACAAAAAGTTATGCTTGGCAGTGAGGTGGCATAATCTCCTCCACTCATTCAAATGGTTGCATATCCCCATGCACTCCTCAACCCATGTGAATGTGGTCCCCCATTTGAATGAGTGGAGGAGATTGTGTCACCTTACTACCAAGTATAAACTTTTTGCTTGGTACCAAGCATACCTATATATATATAGAGAGAGAGAGAGAAATGGATATGTTTGGTACCAAACACAAAGTTCTGCTTGGTAGTGAGGTGGCATAATCCCCTCCACTTATTCAAATGGTTGCATATCTCCATGTACTCCTCAACTTATGTGAATGTGGTCCCCTATTTGAATGAGTGATACCAAGCACAACATTTGTACTTGGCACCAAGCATACTCATATTTCACACACACACATATAGACAAGAAAATCCAATTTATTGGTCGGTCAAAATACCTTGATTCAGCTGCTGGTCATCATACATAACGTGCGCGATCTGGTCATGTAACATAAACAATCAAATATACATCCAAGATACCTATTGAACGTTAAGTGAATGATAGGTGAAGGAAAATGCTATAACATTAAGTAGTTCATACGCTTAGACAAATGATCGGCATACATTCAACTAAGATGTACTCAAATATTCTGACAAATATGAATACTTGATATTTATCCTGCTTTGGGCATAAAACATACGGAACTACTATAATATCAACATATGTTGAGTATGTCTTAACTTTTGTAGACATTAAAAAATGCCAAAATTCGAAAGGTGAAAAGATGGATCATGGAAACGAACCCTTTTTCAATCAGAAACGAGGTTCGTCGTTTAGAAAAGATCAACATCGAGAACGAGAGTCGCCATGCAACAGAACTCAACGTCGAAAGATAAAGTTCATTGAATGAAACAGATCTACGAGACTCGGAATTCGTCATTGGATACGAGGTTCGAGGTTCGCTAGTGAATACAAGACTCGGAGCTCGTCATTGGATATGAGGTTCGAGGTTCACTAGTGGATACAGGGTTCGAAGCTCGTCGTTGGACACGAGTTGAACTCTAGCTGTCAAAGACAAAGCTCGTCATTGGAAACGAGGTTCGAAGTTCATCATCAAAGACGAGGCTCGCCACACAGCGAGGCTCGATATCAAAGACGAGGCTCGCCACATAATGAGGCTCGATATCAAAGACGAGGCTCGCTACGTAGCGAGGCTCGACATCAAAGACGAGGCTCGCCACACAGCGAGGCTTGACATCAAAGACGAGGTTCGCCAACGCAGTGAAGATCGTCACCAGCATTAAATCAGGCTGTAACGGCCACGAAGACCCAGTCAGCCACGTGGGCCAAATTCAAGGAGTCAGTTACGCCACAACTCCACAATTGCAGCGCATCAGTTACGCCCACGACCCCACTATTGTAGCACGTCGGTTACGTACTTAAAACCCTATAAATAGCCGCAAGCAGCTATGGGGTTGGGATTTTTTACTCTGAATTGAAGAATTTCAAGCTTGGACTTAGAGAAACATCAGAGCTTAAAGTTTCTGCATGTCAAATCGAAGTTCGAACCTCGATTCCAGCCGGTGAACCTACGTCAGAAGCTCCTGTGATTTTGGTCTGATCGTCAACGAGGCAAACTCGACTCAAGCATCGAGGGAAGCATACTTTCACCACCTAGAACCCACCTTAAACAAAAGAGAAACTGAATTAATCTTCTCTTCCTCTGTAATCGAGAGAGAGTGAGTGATTGTAAGGGTTCGTACTAAGTGATCGAACCCAGTTTTCTTAAAACAAGATAATCAATCAATCTTTAATTTTTCGACCCTACAACGTACATAAAGCATAGTTAACAATCATGATTTAATATTTTTCTTTATGTCAACATAACTTGTTACATAATATAATTATAATCCTCAGCCATCACTACAACCTCAGAGTCTTTGCTTAAATTTCCAAAGTGAATTTAATAGCACTAGAGGACCCAAATTCCAATCTAATAGCGGGTGTGAGTTGTAGATATGACACGGCACGTGCATCCCCACGTTCAGATCCCTAGCAGCGGTTGCTTGAGTCATCAACAACCATAATATCATCGTAGTCACCATTGTCAAAACCTTGAAAGGATATTTGAAAAAAGGAGGCCATATCTTCGAAGGGGAAAAAAAAAACATTCTCAGTTACTTGCGAAAATACGAGAGAAAGAGAGAGAGAGAGACTGCTATTCACATGCCAAAGACAGAGACTAATAACATATTCATGATATCACCCCTTTAGCACAGGAGCAACCAAGTTGTTCCAAGACAATACATCGACAAAACATTCTCTGTTCTAAAGCCGGAAGTTTCAACTCCAGAAGTCGATCTTTAGTAATGCAACTTTCTTGAAAGTCCTTTGCCTTGTCAAGTAAAGTCAGTCGCAGAAATCTTCTTGCAGAGATAGAAAGCCATCATCCAAATCCTAAGAACAAAAATTCATCAATCAAAGATAACCTGCTTTCGAAATATATCAAATCAACCTGATCGCCTTACAAATTTTCCCGTAAGAAACCATTTGCCTAATCGAACACTCACCTCAACCACATTAACGGATGACGGATTCATTGCTTCTGCAGCCTCGTACCAAACTCATGCTTGTTGGTTGAGGATATTTGGCCACTTCATTATCAAAAACCAAGTTTCATGATGCTAGAACAGCCATCAGCTGTCCAAAATTTCCAAAGTAAGATGCGACTGCAAGAACAAAAATAGGGCAAAACCCAAAACCCATATACCACCAAAAGGGCTCTAAAGCCAAAATAATATACGCAGGCTACAACAGTAGATCTCACGATGCTAAGCAGTAATCAGCTCTCCATACGTTTCCATGTAACACACGATCACAATAACAAAATATCATATACCCAAAGCTCATATAGCAGCAAAAGAACACTATAAGAGCAATTTACGCAGTCTACAGTAGATCTACTAGCAAAATGCACATATAAAGTGGCATCAAGCAATCAAACCAAGTCTTAAACACACGGCTATTCCCCTCTTTTTAGTTGACTTGCATTGCTTCTCGATGGTACTTGTCCAGGTCAGCATCAAGATCTTCGACAGACACCTTCTCATCACGGCCTCTACCTCGTCCTCGACCTCCTCTACTCTGTCCACGACCACCACCACCATGGGGTCTGCCAGCAGGGACACCTCTCCCACGTAGTCTATAATATAACACCACCACTTAAGTTTAGACCTCTACCGAACCATAAATCCAAAATGATCTTTTAAAACAAATAGAAATCCAAATCAACACTGAAACATTTTGGTTGATTCTTTTAGGCCAAAATGTCACCTGATACATCAGGAAGTTCATGATATATCACACAAAAATTGCCAAAAGGCAAAAGCGCCAAAGGATACTAAGACCATATCATTTTCCGACTAGCCTTAGAAAATGATATATTGGCCAGTTATATTAACTGATAAATCGGCCATGTCAGAGATATTTAAAACAACAGATGTCAAATATAGCAGCAGCAGCAGAAGAAGAAGAAATGACAAAATCATCCCAAGTGCACTACAACTAAAAAGATGTTGCTGGAGGACAATCATGGGGCATGATACTTGTAACTACAAGGCAGGATAATAGAAAATATAAATCGGTGTACTTTTTCAATCGTCAGTAGTGCTGACCTTACTCGGTGTCAAAATGAAATTTGAAATATCAATGGTCAAAAGGAGATAGAAAAGGAAAATGAATATGACTCAAACACTCCACCTCCAATTATTATGATACATCAGTTACAGGATTTTCTTTCCAACTCTCACAATCCAACGTCCTAACTCCGTTTATTAATACAACAATTAAACGTTTTCCCCTTCATTTTCACAAATTCTTTTTTTTTGTCGTGTATTTTCATACCTAGATTACTATTGTAAGCAAACTCACGAGTAAAATTATATGCACATGCTCCATACGTTTGACCAACCAAAACATAACTTCCAACACCATGAAATACATTTATAAA